GCACTCTGGAAGGCTGAGGCAGGAGGATCCCAAATTTGACACCCCCCACCGTGCAATTTAGTTATTTAGAGAGAACTTATCTTAAAAGGTAAAAGTGAAAAAGGACTGGTGATTAGTTCAGTGTGCATGATCTACATTCAATTTCCAGTACTGGAAGCAAAAGGAAGAAAGAAAGGAAAAGAAAGCAATTCTAGCTCAGCTTAGAAATTATAAAAATTTCAAAAAGAGAAAACACTGAGCATCATTATGACACAAATGTAATTTTAATACAGCTTTCTGAGACCCAGGAAATGACTTCTGGATTAACTCTACCTCTGACACTGCCATCGCCCCAGCCCCACTTAGCTCCCTTCTTCCTTCCTGAGCTCCTCAGATAGACTGTCCTCTCACCTCCCAGTCAGTGCACCTGTACATGTTTGGTGCCGACCTTTTTTTTTTCTCTCCTGCTTTTCCCAAAAATCTTCTACTTAGCTTGATTTTTAGTTGAGCAAAACCCCAGAAAATCATAAATTATTCTATATATTTTAACCTTTCATTACACTGTAATTTGACATTTATTTGTGTAGTTCTTTGATTAATGCCTGTTTTTCAGCTGATGGCTCAATAAATACAAGGACTGTTTTTCTCCTCTCAACATTTTATCACTAGGAAAAATAGCATTGCAATTGTTTAATAAAGTTTTCCTGTGAAAGAAGATGGAGTGAAGAATTTCACTTGTTTAGATAAAGAGCAAAATAAAAGAGAGATTGTAAGAAAGGAGAGATACATCTTTTACTAAGGGGAAGGAAACCAAGAGATGGGGGATGAGAAGGGAAGAGGGGATGAAAAAAGAGTTAAGATTATACGAATATCCCAGTTCCGCATGAGGAATGTTATCATATGTTCTGCAAACAGGGACTCATAAAATACATTAAAATTGAAAAAATAACCCTTATAGTCATGTAATTTGCCTGTTTTGGCCAATTGTCTTATTCAGAGCTGAGCATTTAGTAGTGTATCTGTACGCAATTGTAACTGCTTCTGATAGCCACTGCACTTTACTAGAAGACACATGAGCTTTACGTAGATGGCTCAATAAATTTCCACAAGATGAACATTCATGGAGTCAGCACTGAAATCAGGAGACAGGACCTGATCCTCATCCTAGATTTGCCCATGGTACTTATTCCAGTAATAAGCATTCCTTCAAAGATGACCACATATACCCCTCCCGCCTAATATTTTTCTCATGTTCTCTATTTTACCTGATTTGTGTGTGTTATGTTTTTCAGACTCAACCACGCTGATCTGTGTATATAGTTCATTCATTCGCATGGTTTAATACTATTTCATTAAACAAATACTGCACTGCTTTATCTGTTTATGGTGGTGGACATTTGGTTGCTATTTTTTAGCTATGCATGTACTCTGGTAGACATACACATGCTTCTATAGGGTGCACACTAAGGGATGGATCATATTTTATGCAAATACTGTGCCTTAATGGATTCTTTCCAGTATATTTAAGGAGTAGTTACACCAATTTACACTTTCATCAACAATATTAATAGGTACAGTCCCACATCTTCAGCAGGATTGGAGAACGAGTATCTGTCCCTTGCATCTTGCAATGGTCTGCACAGGGTATGTGTCATGTGATTTTATTTGACCTTTAGTACTCTTTCTAAATTTGTAAACATAGCTTGTTTCACAAGTGTGGACCATGTTACCTTAGCTTGAGTTTATATCCTAGAGGGCAGGAACCATATACTAGATAAGTCTCAGTCGTTAAATTTAACACAGCAAGCATACAATGTACTTTTGTTAGGGTAAATCTTGCTTCTGCCTATTAAAAGGCAGTAACAGGTAGGGATGGAAGACCTCAGAAAAGAAACAATATGAATGTATTTTATCAAAATAGGCAAACATTGATGAGCAGATCCCTCTTAATATTTGTTAAATTTTATATTCTTTTTATGTGGTCATCCACTCAACTCTGTAGTTATGCTGAAAAAGCCAGTGGGTCCCATTATATACATGTCTTAGTTAATTGCCTCATTTCCTACTCTGTACATCAAAAAGATAATTAAAATTGTATTTCCTCTGACAGTGCATTTTCTCTGACAGAGCCTGACTGCATTTCTTTAGGAAGAAAGTTTTTTTATGATTTAGCTAAGTTGTTTCTATTTCATTACTGATTAGTATCAAAAGTCAGCAGAAGTCACAGTCTCAATACTGAATTCACATTACTCCTTCAAGAAACAATACTGTCTTGTGCACCTGAAAGTTATATCTAGATATCTAAGGACATAAAGAAAGTCCTGCTAAAATCCTTTTTTACCCAGTAGCTTTCAAAATAAGCAAATAAAGGAAGGGAAGAATAATACCCTCATCCAAATGCCTTGATCATATTAATAGTTGCTGTTCTTCACCGGAAATAAGAGATTTCTATGGAAATGATGATCACCCTCCTGTGAGTATATAGAACTCGTAAAACCTGAAGAGATTGTAAAGGTCAGCAGGCACTGAAGGTTCTATCCTGGGGATAAATTTCTAAATAACCCAGAGGAGAAAAAGGAAGAGGGAGGGAAAGAAAAAAGCTCAACTTCATGAAAGTAAAATGTGCAAACTTAACAGTTTCTGGATTATCATTTAATTATAGCCATCAATCACCTCACATCTGCTTTCTCCCAGCACTCAAGAAATTCCATCTGAAGCCATCTGATCCATCCAACAGAGAATATGTAGGTCATTAAGAATCCTAAGGATGGGAAGCAATATTTAAGAAATTAGTCCATAGAAGATTTTAGGAAATTACCTAAAAGCATGACAGTAGAATTAATCTTTCCATCAATTCTAGGAAAACCCAGGAGGAAAACTGTCTTTAATTAATAAGATGAATATGGTTTATTCTTCTGTACCAGGTCAGATAGCCTGGTGATAATTTTCAAAGGGACTATCTTTCTCAGTAATTTTATTTCAATCTATATTTTCACTAATGTGTGAAACCAACCTGCAGTTAGTCATGTTATAAACATGACTTTACAGTCTCTTTAAATGAGCACAATTTCAAGTTGAGCTGTTGGAAGTACATTCATTTTATTAATTGGTACTGGGGGATGCCAACAAACATCTTTATGGATAACCTATTTTAAGGTTTAAAATGTTTCATTTTTTTCTCAGTGAACAAACTTACACTGACTGTTTCTAAATTTTACAGCTCAAAAATTAAATGGTGTTAGTCTTTTCAAGCTCTAGTGAGTTTAGAAAAGTGTTTCTACCACAGTAATCCCCTTGTTTTGCTGCATTTATCTCCCACTAGATCCCTAAATGCTGCCTTCTTCTCAGGTAGATAATTGCAGTGGGGTTGGAACAAGACAGGAAGTGAGCTGGTGCTGAGCAGTGTCCATGAAAAGAACTGTCACCCTGGTAGAAATAAATAGACCCTGAGACCATAATCTCTCCCTTCAATTATTTCTAAAACCATAAATGCCCAAGGAAAAGCTAGTCATTTATTTGTCTACAGAAATATTTGTCTGCAGTCATGTATGGTTTTTAACTTATTTTAGTTCTCTATGGCACTAATTCCTATTATAGCAATCTTCTCTCTAGTACCACTTTTGTTTTCCCACTAAATATGGATTTCAACACAATGTTGTTTTGGCCCATAGCCTTTAAAATTCTTTCTGTTTTAAAAATAATGACTTGTTTATTACATATTTTCCCAACAGAGTTCATCTGGTGATTTAATGATCAGAAACATTCAACTGAAACACAGTGGAAAGTATGTCTGTATGGTCCAAACTGGGGTAGATAGCGTTTCCTCTGCTGCTGAACTTATAGTGAGAGGTAAATGTTAATATCACTTATTTTTTTTTAACTTCACATGTTAACTGAGCATTATTTACTGGAGAAAGAAATAGAATGAGAAAATAAATGAGCGTAAAAGTTATAATATTGATTTGATTCCCCAGAAATAGATTTTGGCAATAAAAATGGGTGTTAATTGAAAGAAATAAAAAAGTTGAACTCTGCTTTCAAATTGTTCCCATTGTAATTGCCATTCCTTACCTACCCCCAAGCTCTGTTTTGAGCATGCCATTAATTCAGTAAGTGTATTTTATATGAGAATACTGTGTGGATGTCTGCTTCCAAAAGAATCAAAATTATGCACAATGCCAGAGACAATTTGCCAACCTGAGCTGCTATCCATGGTGCTGATTCGTCCCTGGCCTGAAAAATGACTAGAGTGCATCCGAGAATAAAACGCTTTAGACAAGAGCAGTGCAAACTACAGAGCCACACCGGTGGCTTCAGGAAGAGGCATCCCACCAAAGCAGGGGGCACTGAACTGAGAAAGGTATGGGAATCCTGCTAAATAGAGGCCTCCAAAAGTAGGTGTCACTTGCAATCATGTTTTCTTAGGATTTTGGAATTGCTGTTTTACATCCAGATTTAAGATCTAACAATGGAAAAGTGAAAAAAGAGATAGTATTAGTTCCAGGTAAATGGCCCTTTTTCCTAAGTGCTTTTGCAATTGGAGTCCGTTGGAGGTATTAAAGTGGTCATATGACATTCTCTTCACTATGGTAGAAGAAGATGACTTTATGGTATTGCTACCCTTGGTTTGCATTCTTGCCTTCCTCAGGTTCACCTGGGCCACCAGAAAATGTGAAAGTTGATGAAATTACAGACACAACAGCCCAATTGTCTTGGAAAGAAGGAATTGACAACCACAGCCCAGTTACATCATATGCCATCCAGGCTAGAACACCTTTCTCTGTGGGCTGGCAAACTGTCACAACAGGTAAAGGGGAAGGACAGATGCCAGGGGCTCATACAGATAGATTTCAGATTTGTACTAGAGCATGCAAACTCTTACTTATCTGAACTGTTCCTTTATAGTGCCTGAGGTCATCGATGGGAAAACATACACAGCTACTGTGGTCGAGTTAAATCCTTGGGTGGAATATGAATTTCGAGTTGTAGCCAGTAACAAGATTGGAGGTGGAGAACCCAGTTTACCCTCAGAAAAAGTAAGAACTGAAGAGGCAGGTTAGTGTTTTTGCTTTCTGTGTAATGAGTTAACAGATCTCTCTGGGTGCATATTTCACTTCCCTTTGCCCATAGTCTCAAGGCGGGCAGAGGATTTGACTCAATAATCCATGGTCACAATTATCTAACCTTTCTAACGGCAGAATCTGCCATATGGCATTTGTCAAAAGAAACACATGTAACTGATTCTGATACAGTGTGGCATTTCCAAGAGTTCATTGCATCATAAATGATCATTAGTGCATGTTGAGTGAATATGTTTTTGTCACTTAAGGTTATAATTACTATCTGATATAGTTACCCTGTTAGCAGGGGAAGTGCTGTTTTCATATATAACAAGCATTGACAAATTGGTAAGATAATGACGTTTGGGAGTTTCACTGCTCGGAAATCTCTTTCTCCCACCAAGCTCAGCAAAATGAGCTTCAGCAATTGATGAATATTATATTTTGGCCTCTCAATTGTTAAATTAAGAACAAATTAGCGTTTTGAATTATCATGTGAGTCATCTACTAATAGAAGCCATAAAACCACTTTTGTAATTCTAAAATATCTTAATATTAAACCTCAAAATGAGAAAGTATGCATAGCATCACATAGACAGGGCTAAGGGGAAAGCCCAAATACTTCTTGTAAAATACTTCTTGTTTGCAGAATCTGTAATGTTAATTAATACGAACTAAAATGATATTTGGAGTAGAACTAGCATGTCATGTTAGGAACTGGGCCATGATAACAGATAAGGAATATGTTTTCCATAATTTTAGCGATGTTGTTTTACTCAGGAGAGTAAGGTTTTATGATCAGTAGAGACACAGTGCACGCCTTAGTGTCCTTTGCTCACTTAACACGTATTTGGGCCATGTCTGCTGTGTGCTCAGTACTTGTAGATATTTCACTACTTCTGTGAATATGACAGACATTTACCTTCACAGAAGTTACATTGTAAATGTGTCATAGGGTTTACTAAACATAGAGTTCTTTCTGTTTGGGGGTGAATCTGACATCTGCATGAAGTTTATAGTGAATATCTTCTCACAGGATTTGAGGATTTCAGTCTTTGTTATTCTTACGGAAGGCCAATATCATTCTGACACTTGTACCCTACTTGGAGTAATCACAATGATTAAATTATTTCAAATACTAAAAATAAGTAACATTGAACCTTCTTTCAGATTAATATTACTGTACGCAAATAGGGTGTCATCTCTGTCTCTCTGACCCACACAGTTCCAGAAGTGCCCCCTTCTGAAGTCAATGGAGGAGGTGGAAGCCGGTCTGAACTGGTGATAACCTGGGATGTAAGTGTTTGAGCAGCATCTTCCTCATTGGGATGTTCCTATTCTCACAGTCATAGCTTCCTGTGTGATACTACGGCTGTTGGTGTTGGCACTGGCACTCTTGGTGGGGATGCTGGCGCTGGCAGTGCTGGTAGTAATGCTGATCGTGTTGATACTGGTGTTTATGGTGGTGCTGATACATGAGGATAATGGTGCTGATGCTGGGAGTGGGGGTGCTGGTCATGAGGGTGCTTGTGTACTGGTACTAGTACTGGAGTTGGTGGTAGCAATGCTGGTGCCACCAGTGTTGGCACTGGTGCTAGTGGTAGGGATGCTGGGGCTCACAGTGTGGATGCCAGTCATGAAGATACTGGTGCCAGTGCAGATGCTAGTGTGGAGGTCTAGTGGTGCTAGTGCTGAATGATGGCGCCAGTAGTGATGATGGCTCTGCTGATGCTACCGCTGGTGGTATTGGTAGTGGTAGTGCTGCTGCTGACACCCACGGTGCTGGTGGCAGTCATGTTGCTGGGGTTTGTGTTGGTTGTAATGATAGCAGGGCTATTGATGAGAATGATAGCAGTAGTGCTGGTGCTGATGGAGGTTGTGCTGTTTGTGAAGATGCTGGATTAGTCCTAATGCTACTGAGGGCAGTGGTACTGCTGCTGGTTCTAGTGATACTAGTACTAATTGTGGTACTGATGGTGTTGGTGGTGTTGCTGGTGATGGTATTGGTGCTCTTGATACTGCACATATGGTGTCAGACTGCTGATTTCTCTGATAGTACTGTTTCTTCTGGAACTGGTGCTGGTACTCACAGTGGGATTGCTAGTACTGACTGGTGGTAGTGCCAGTACTGGTGCTGGAAGTACAAGTGGTGCTAGTAGTACTACTATTGAGACTGATGGTATTGAGGATGATTGTCCCAGTAATGGTGCTGACAGTGGTGGTCTTTGTGCTAATTTTAGTGATACTGATGGTACTCTTGATGCAGTACTGGTGGTGGTACTGGTGGTGCTGTTGCTGGTAGTGCTTCTGACTCTGGTGTACTGGTAATTCAGATGGTGGCAGTGTTGATACTAGCAGGTGATGGCAGTGCTTGTTTGGGTGTTAGTGGTCATGCTGGTGGGACACGTATTGGTGGTGCTGATGGTAGTGGTGCTGGTGCTGGTACTGCTTCTAATGGTGCTGGTGCTACTCATGGTATTGATGGTCATTTATATGATGCTGATGCTGATGCTGATGCTGTTGGTGACACAGCTAATGGAGTACGCACTGGCGCTAGAGGTTCCAGTGCTGGTGGTAATGCCAGTGCTCATGTGGCACTGATACGGGTGGTTTTGATCCTGGTGTTAGTGGTATTTGTGACGGTGGTGGTGGTGTTCCTGGTGCTACATAATAGTAATGGTGCTCCTCATGCTTCTGATGTTGGTGATGATGGTGGTAGTTAAGATTTTTGAACGCTCACTCTGTGCCACCACTAGTTCTATCATTTTGAATGTATCTTTCTCATCCCATTTTGCAATATTTTGTAGATGTAAAAGGCACAGAGGTAATAAACAATTTCCTCAAGGTCACCTGGCACTTTACCACAGGGATGAGAGTCAAATCCTAGCAGTTGACTCATACCATGCCCTGAAAGCTTTCCCTGTAGCCCTGAATTTCCCACTGTTGATGTCACACATTCCAGCAGATGCTTGAGTCTCTTTCCCTATCATTGCCATCCTCTCATTCTTTGATTCATATCATAGTGGGGGAAAATGTAATTAAGCTGTTTAAAGTCACAAGGTATTAGTACTAAAATTATCTGCATTTGAAAATGTTGGTGAAAAATAAAAAGGTATGATCTCATGATGGATTGTCAGTACAATTTTTATATGACCCAGATACATCTTTGGTTTAGTAAGTCATAATAACTCTCTTAATCATTATATACTTAATCATTATATCCAGCTGTAATTTTGTTGTATAAAGTCAGTATTAGGAACTAGCTCAAAAAAAAAAAAAAAGATTTAGATTTCAAGCATGTCTGATTGAAAGAATACCTTTCTGAAAGCTCAGACTTGGGACAAATGATGTTTGGAAACCTGAATAATTATAGAACATTCTAGTTAATGATCTGGATGTTTATGAATGAGTGGAATATGTTTAAAAGCAGCTAACTTGACCTTCCCATTAGTGCTTTTCTTCTTTTTTTAATCGAACTCCTTAACACAGTGTCGATTATTATTCAATGACCTTTACAAAAAGCTAAGAATGATAGTTGCATTTACTTTTTCTTTGCCGTCTGTGTAAGGGTGACTTTGTATGTCCTTTCTTTGTAGCCAGTCCCTGAAGAACTACAGAATGGTGAAGGTTTTGGGTATGTGGTTGCCTTCCGCCCTCTTGGGGTTACCACCTGGATCCAGACAGTGGTGACTTCTCCTGATACTCCAAGATATGTCTTTAGGAATGAAAGCATCGTGCCATTTTCACCATATGAAGTTAAAGTGGGTGTTTATAATAACAAAGGTGAAGGACCATTTAGCTCAGTGACAACAGTGTTCTCTGCAGAAGAAGGTATGGAAAATAGCAGTCTAAATCTCATAAGGCAGTTGTGCTCAAAAACTGACTTAGAAGTTCTTTTTGACTTTAGATATATTTTCTTCAAAAGAATAATAATCAAAATTATAGTTAGATTCTTAATGCAAGTCATTAAGACTGACCATAATTGACTTGCAGTGTAAGACTCAGTGGATCATAAGCAGATATATCAGTTCACTAAAATTGAGTTCATGAGAATTCCATCTGAATTCCATGTTGTGGGGTAGGAAATACCATCATTAGCTCATTTTTCATCTTGGTATACCAATGAAATAATCCTTTGGAGCAGCCTTAGTCTAAAGCTTATAGTGACGCCTAAGGTCCAAGAAAAGGATATTAGTGGTATATTGAGGACAAAAAGTATGACATTCAAGGATTAAGACTGTGTAACTTTAAAGGATATGCATTCCAACTGGTACAGATACATGCATATTTCACTCTGAAACCATTCTGTTATGCTGCGTTTCTTTTAAGCTGCTCCAGATATTGAGACATCTACATTTTCTCTCAAAGGCTCTTTAGAAAATTGTAACAAAGTTAGAAGGATTATACAAAATTGCCACTTTATTTATCTATAACAACTGAATATTGGTTATATCATGTACTTCTACCTAATAAAGAAGACAGGATGTAACATGTATTGAAAACTTACCATCTGCCAGGCATGACCTACTTTAATTTTCCAAATAACAGATAAATTGTTGGCACTATTACTATTCTCCTTTTACAAATGAGGGAATGTAAACTCAAGGAAAGAGATCGCTAAACATACCAAAGTCTGTTTAATAAATTTCCAAGCCAATAGTTTCACCCAGGACCGCTGGCCTTCACCAGCCTAAACTCTTGCCACAGTGTCCCTCCCTTCATTCCAGACATTGCAATAAATTTCAAAAACTAAAAATAATAATTGGACTCGGCTTCTCTGAGGAGTCTCACCATGGTTTTGGGTTTTGTTTTTTATTTTCTACTGCATTTAAGTAGTACTAAAGTCTTTGGAAAGGTAAGTGCCTTATCTTCATATTGTATTACAAGCCAGACTTCATTTTCAAAAGCTACCACAAATTACAAAGGCAGGTTAGGGTTCTGGGCAACAATGATGATTAAATGGGGGAGGTTTTGGATGGTGCTTGGCCTGTACTATTAGACTTGGTACCTACAGGGACAGGGAGGGACAGCCACAGCCTTTTATCTGTTTCAGCCTCCCTCACTTCTGTTCTGCTGTCAGCATTCTTGCCCCCACTGATTAGTTAGTAAAGGGCTTTCTGTTCAAACATCAGAAATAAATTCAGCTTGCCTAAGAAAAAATGGAGAGACTTATTGGAACTCTGCTAGTGCCTCCTCTGGGAATCAAGTGAAGAGTTAGAAAGCCAAACTCATGAAGAACTTTAATCAGAGAAGCCCTGGGGCTCAAGAAATGATATGCTCCTCTAGTATGCCAGTGCCAAGTTGATTGACCCCAAGCACTCCTCATCTCTTCAAACTAAGGTTCAGATTCTCAGGAGAGAAAATTGAATAGGTCCATTCTGAAACCAAGACTCTGTCTCAGCATCAAGCAACCATAACCAAGGAATGACATCATTTAACACAGGAATGGATATTGAGGGATTGAGGATTCTTACTCAGAAATGAGTCTTGAGAAAGAATCACTGTGCATCCCCAAACCCCAAGAGTGTTTATTAGAGAAGAATGTACTTACAGCGTATAACGTGTGTATGTCTTATCTCTTTGAAGTGCCTACCATTCCTCTAATGTAAATGTGTCCCATCTGTGGGCCTAGGCTAGAGAAGACTCTCCATGCTTATTGAGCAAATGAACTTTGTTTGACTTTGACCTTATTTAGCAACACAAAAATAAGTGGCAGTTGTAGATGTAGGAGTTCTCAGGCAGCTGGCCTGAGATGAAGGGGAAGGTAACAAAGACAGGGTGCAGAGAACAGAGGTAAATAAGGGAAGGAAAGGAAGACTAAAGAAGAGGTGAGATGGGGCTGGAGATTTAGCTCAGCGGCAAAGCGCCTGCCGGGCAAGTGCAAGGTCGTGAGTTCGGTTCCTGGTACCAGAGAAAAACAAAAAAAAAGCAAAGAAGAGGTGAGAAGGAGGCAAGTGTAGGCTGCTATGGCCATGAAGCAAGGAAAAGCCTGTGGCCGTGATGCCAGCTCTTCCTAAGCTACAGACAAGTTCTGGTGTTTTCAAGACATGGGCATAGGAGGACGAGGGATATAGCTCAGTGGCACAAGTGCCCATCTGGCAAGTACAAGGTCGAGTTCAATTCTTGGTACCAAAAAAATAATAATAAAGTCAAGACATGGGCATGTTGTCAAACATTTTTACAGAATATATATAAAACTTTCACGTTCTAAAATGCTTTGTAAAAATACTTTCAAATTTTTAAAAAAATTTAACTGCCAACATTAATATATTTCAATATCTGTTCCTAAACAGAGCCTACAGTTGCCCCATCGCAGGTATCTGCCCATAGCCTGAATTCCTCAGAAATTGAAGTTGCATGGAACACTATTCCGTGGAAGTTGAGCAATGGACATTTACTTGGCTATGAGGTAATTTTTTTCAACATTAATTCCTATTTGTATGTTACCACATTATCTTGTGTTCATTCATTTAAAATTCTTCATAACAGTAGCAATCTTAGGTGTGTTCTGTCTTTAGTTGAAATTTTCCTACCAGCACATTGTTTCATCTGATGATCAGTGGATACTCAGTTTAACTTAGCCCATTGAATTACATAACTTTAGTTTGAATGCAAAAGGAACTGACAACTAATAGGAAAGGAAATCACTTATCATGAGGGTGAAATCTATTACATGGTATGTTATTGATCTTTTCATTGCTAAAACAAAATACCTGGGAAAGTCAGTTTAATGGAGAAAAAGTTTATTTTGGCTCATGATTTCAGAGGTGTCAGTCAATGGCCAACTGGATCCATTGCTTTTAGGGCTGTGATAAAGCAGAGAAATCATGTCAGTAGTCTGTGCCAGGGGAAGGCTGGTTATTTTATAGCAGTCAGGAAGGAGAGAGAGAAAGGAGGGGAGAAAGAGAGTCAGAGTTAGAGACAGAGTGGGAGGTATGGACAAACAGACAGAGACTGGTCTAGTTCTCCTTCTTTTGTTCTAACTCAGCCTTTACCATACCAGATGGTACTGTCCACATTCAGAACAGGCCACCTACCTCAGTTTGCTATCCCACATGCCACTCATCTCTAGAAACACCCAGACACACCTAGAAGTGCACTTTTTCAGTCTCCTGGATACCTCTTAATGCAATCTAGTTGACAGTCAAGATTAACTGTTACAGATGGGTCGACTTAAAATAAAGTTAAACCCAAACTCAGTATTAAGTTCAGCATTTGCTCATGTCAGTGGGAAATCATTTTTCTCCAGCTCTTTGGCTTACTTTCTTGGTGATCTTGTTGTTGTGAAATTCTCTTCTAGGCTCTAGAGAACTTAGGTACCTGTAATGTAATTCTTGCTTCCAAAGGCTTTTTTGTTCAGTGAAATAAGATGAAATACCTAAAAAATAAAAGGGATAACAACACCACATGTATTGAAGGTTAGAACTTTTCATTCAGGCAGAAAATATTTCAGTAAAAAATATGAGCTATCTTGACAGGATTCATGGGGGTGGTGAGGTTTAACAGAGACTTAAAAGGGAACAAAAGCAAGCATAGAGGGAGTGAAAACATCCCAGATAGATCGATGTATATTGTGCCAAGCAGAGGCATAGAGGCCATCTGCACAATAAAATTCCATGAGAGTGGGTGATTAAAGAAAGGTGCAGGCTGGTCAGGTCAAAGATAGCTTTTGAATCCTATGCATAATTATTTGGACTGGACCCATATTTAGTAGGGAATCGTGAGAGCGAGAAATAACAATATAAAATAAAGTTTTGAGAAGATTTATCTCAAATGATAAAGCAATGATTTTATAGGGGTCACAGTAGTTGAGTTTTCATCTCCATCACAACAGTCTTCCTAGGAAACATCCTTTGCATGTCTAACTCCTGATTCAGTGACACAGTTACATGGGCGTGTTCACATCCCATGGATACATATCCTCTACATACCATCACAGCCATAAATGCTTGTACTGTAGAAGCCACTTGATAAGAGGCCAGTGATCTTTGGGCCATAAGCTGAGTCAGTCACATTCTTGTTTGAGAAGTTTAAGTAAACAGTATGGAGATTATAGTTAATAAGCGTGATGCAGTCAGATTTATGGCATAGTTCACTTTTCTGGTGATACAGGCATGGGCAAGCAGCAGAGAGCTGATCTGTACAGCTGAGGTGGAACAGATGTGTCTCCTGTCAGCTAAAGAATAAAGGAAATGATAGGCAATGAAACCTCAAAGAGAGCACAGTACAATAGCTCTTTGACAAATGCCCAATTCTCCTGTGCCCTGATTATATTCTTTTCCATATTACTTTGCCTTTCTCCCCAGTAAATTCGTTTTACATTTGAGCAGCTTTAAAAGCATTTCTGTTCTTTTATCCAAACAATCATTGACTTGAATAAAGTAGAGAAAGAAAGACACTAAAGCACTGATGCTCAAAGTAAAGCTCATGGATCACCTTGTCCAGAATTACCTGAATTGATCATTAAAAGTGAGGAAATCTTTCTGCGTCTGGATTATTTGTCTGACCCTAATATGCTTCAGGTATCTATGTTGTTGTAAAAAAAATCTCATTGTTCCTCTTTATTTTTAATTGGAAACTAACATTTGTGTACAGTTATGGTGTACAACGTGATGTTTTGAACTATGCATGTATTATGGAATGGCTAAATCAGATGAATTAACACATGCATTACCTGAAAAAAAAGAAAATAAATGAAAATATTTGACATTGCTCACTTGGGGAACTGAGGTGCACATCCACCATGAATAACTTTGCCGCTTATGCCAGGATCACAATTCTGACTTAATTATACCTTGTGAAATAATTAAGAGAAAAAAATATATATATAGGCTTCAAGCATTATAGTACTGTTAGCAGTTATTGGTGATTACTGGATAGCATGGGAGCAGATAGATTTTTTAAAAGAATATACAGGTTTAAGTTATAAGGAGTCTTTTAGAAAGGATATTGTGAATGAATGAAGAAGTACATCGCTGTTGGTCATGTCAGGAGAGTGTTTTATTTATAGAGAGAAGAGAATCCTAGTGGAGCCCTGCTGCTTTGTGGTTAAGACCCACACCATTTCAGAATTACACAAGCCTCTATTCAAATCAATTGGATTAGGATATGAGCTCCACAAGGGACAGGGTACTCTGCTTATTTGTTTACTGATGTTTTCCAAGGACCAGGAATAGTATCTTGCACTCAGGATGGTGGGGGCAAAGAAATCTGTTGGAAGTATGCAAAAAAATGTGTCGATGAAATAAACACAGTTTTGGCTTTACTGTCTCACTGCTGCATGTCCTTGAGCAGGTTACTAGTACTCTCCAAGGCTCAGTTAACCTAGAGATAATACTAGTCAATAACTCACAGCTTCATTTGAGAATTAAATGAGACAAAGCAGCCATTGTCAAAATGGCCCAAAGAGACTTGCAGCTTCCACTTTGTCTGTTTTGAATATTGGTCTTGGGGGTGAGATTTCGTTGCAGGAAAAAAATTATGAACCTGTGAAGTAATACAGGAATACTCAGCACAGTCCCAGGGTAACCCAAGTAGCTATCATTCCTATTGCACTTGGGAAGGAGGCAAAAAGGGAAGAGCAGCAAGAAAATGGGACTTTCTTATATTAACTGGGGGCTGAAATGTATTAGATCTTATGTATTTTGTAAAGAACAGCAAACGGACTGTGCAAAGGTAGTATGAATGTTATACTGAAAGAAAACATGATTGAAAAATCTCTTCCCCAAGTGCTTGGTGTGTATAAAGAACGAGAAATAAGTTAAGAGAAATGTACTAATGGGGAAAATCTTAAATAATTTCTGTAATTCTACCTAGATAAAAATATGTCTTTTCTTAGTTTCAGTAATGATTTAAAAATTAACCTAGAAAACTAAATGACTTAGGAGAGTTATTTAATTATCAATCATGTGGCTAACTTTCTGGGTTGTGGTTTCCCCAATTTGACTTTAAAATTGTTAATAGCTGCTGCCTTCCTCTCATCTCAGTGAGGGCTGATCATGTGCCGTGTGGCATGCTGAGCACACATCATCATTAGCATCTAGACTAATTTGCTTTCTGATTTGACCAAGCAGTAGCTGAGGAGCTCATTTCCCTAGGCTCTAATTTATTTCATCTGCTAAGCCGGTATGCCCAGGCTTAGATCTTGTCTGGTGCCCTTTTGGGTAGAACAAGAGAGCCAGATACCATAAAGATGAGCCAGAACCTTTGAGCTCAGAGAGAATGCCTGCCTGAGGAACAAAGCTCCAGATTTCTTGCCTGATATACAATGTCGGTTTCTTTAAAGTCATGTTCTGTTTTGGAAGAATAATGTCCTGGATTCGCTATAGTCTGTTACATCCTTTTGTGAATAACTACAAGAGAGAAGCTTGAAAGCACCCAACAAAAATAATGTTAATGTTAAATAATAATGTTAATTACCCTGCATTAATGTGTTGTATTTACAATATTGAAATACTGCACTCTATCCCATAAATATGTACCCTTATTACTTATTAATAAAAAATTAAAAGAAGAAAAAGTGAACCTTGAGAGAACCACCTGGATGCATCATTGAAACAAGCCTATACTAGGATAATGTGTTTGGGGAAATCTCAGAGTTTTGTAAAAGTTTGCAAGTAACATATCTCATGCAATGTAACAAAATGCCCGGCTGAAATTTCCTTGATGATTTCATTCAGCCTCCTGTTCCCAACAGCTGTACAGAATGTGTTTAATTCCCAATACTTTAATTAGAATAGAAAAAAAAGTTAAATATTTGAGTACTCTTTTTTTAATATAAAAATTCCATGGAAGAAAAGAGTCTCATTCCCTGTTTTGGTTAAAGAAGTCGCTACATACCAGCATGCATTAAAATATTACATACATGAATATGAGAGAGACAAAATGCATTAACGTGAGTGAAATGGAGGTTTTGGAGTGGGTGGAAGGGCTGGTTATGCTGGAGAGACGGGTCTCAGGGACCTTCTGATGAGCAGAGTGATGGGGGACCATAGTAGCTGCACGCTTTGCTGTCAGTGGTAGAGCTGTAGGACAGTGCTCAGTGCCTGGTGCTGCTGGGTGCTACTGTGCTCCTGGTTAAATCCTCCTGAACAAGCCAGACATTTCCTGGTGAATGAATAGGAGTAAATATTTCAGCCTCTCTTTTCTTCTTTTTTTCCTCTGCCTTCTATTGGTTAAATCCAGTGAGAAGTCAGAAAGAGTAAGGAGCTGACTGGCATGTGGAATTAATATTCCCAGGCCTGAGCACAAGGAAGAGCACAAAAGATAGATCTGAACTTTTCTTCTTAAAAGACCTTTGAGTGCATTTTTTCCCTGCTTTGTGTTTACTTACTGTGTCAAATCTCACAGCAATATGAAAATATTCGTCTTTCTAGAAGCCTTTAAGTCTACCTATAATTCTTTTAGCCTATTAAAACAGTATTTCTTACTTTATACCTGCTCTTTAATGGCCAAGAAAACGTGCCATTATCCAATATATTCTATAAACCATGTTTCATTTTATTTTAAATTAAATGAAATCTCTGATTCAGTGGTATTAACAACTCCTCACAGCAGGAACATTACTTTCACAATAGCCAAGGTACAGAAATAGAGGTTGCATTTTAAATCCTGATATTCTTCAAATTTGGATCTATTTACTTATCAAGATAAAAAATATGTTGACTAGCAAAATGGTTTTATGGCCCTGAAGAAAAACATTGCATTATCTCATAAGAAGATTGAAATATCACTGTTTGTAGATGCATAAATTATTAGGATTTGAATGACTAGCCGGGTGAGTCTCTGTGGTGGGAGAAATGAAGCATCTTTAAACTGTTTGTTCAAGACATTTGATGACTGCACCATATTAAGTGAGTACTTTAGTAGCCCCCTCATCTGTGGAAGATATGCCCCCAAGACCTCCAGTGCAAGCTAGAGGCTATGGAGAGTAAAGTTTAATTTATAAATTAGGCACAGTAAGAGGTTAGCAACAAGAACTACTAATAAAATAGAACAGTGATTGAAAATATACCATAACAAAGGTTATGGGAATGTCCTCTCTGTCTCTCTCTGTCTCTCTCCCGCCTTTCTCCCTTGCAGAATGCTTTGTTGTACTATAGCAACCCTTCTCATATTCACACCCAAGGTTGACTCAGAGTCAGTGAAACTGCAGTGGGTTAAACTGTGGTGTGGTGGCTGCTGTCATCTGTGCAGATCGTGCTGCAGTGGTAGAGCCTTGGTAACAGCCAGGACAGGCCCCCGTCCCCAGCGTGTGACTCCTCCTTATCGTCCTTCCTCCTGCCTTCTACTGTGCTAGGAATTGCAGTTAACTGCCTCCCCGGGTCAATTTATCACTAGCAAACCAAGATGCGGTGGCTCACCAGTGTTCAAGAGGCAAACTGGACTCCTAGATGTCCGGTGATGAACAAAGGTTGAGAACCACAGGTTGGCCTCTCTCGCCCTCTTCGCTGGAGTGGAATTGCCTTTAGTTTTTCCCACACTAAACTCAAGGTGGACTTACAATCTGAAATATGTGTTTATCTTCAGTTCTGAAAAGTTCTCATCCCTTTTCCCTGAGAATGTTGACTTTCTCTAATATCTCCTTCAGGGATATTGTTTGGAACTTTGTGTCCTGTCCTCAATTTCTCCTTGCTGGAGTAATTTTCATTTCTCTCTCCAGACTGTGTTCTGAGCTAATTAATTTGCCATCCCACCATAAGTTGTCAGCTTCGTTTTTATTGCTGGTTTTATTCTATATTTTTAATAATTGTACTTTTTGGGTCTATGAGTTCTGTGTTATTTTGCAAATCTGGCTGATCTTTTTTCTCTGTCTCCCATTCTTGCATAATGGATTCCATCCCTTTTTAATAAACATGGATATTTTAAACATAATAATTTGAAACTCTGTTTCATGTCAGTGTATGGTAGCTGGTCTCCCACTGGTCAGGACTGCTGACTTTCTTGTTAGCAGGGTTTCTCTTGTACTTTATAAATTTTTTCTCTCTGCTCATCTTTGTAAATGGCACCTTCATGTTCTGTGAACTTGATATTAACTCTGTTCTACACAATTATGTTTCTAAAGCTTGTTCCTTCAGCATTGGCACCTTTTCTTCTCCATCCCTGCATTGTGTCTGTGCCTATAAATTCCAAATTAGCATAGAGATATTCTGTTCTCTCTGTTGGAGTACTTTTACCGTTTAAAACCAGAATACAACTGAGAGGAAAAGTGGGGCATTTGTCTTTATAATTTCCTTCTGGACTTTTTTACCTTATTATAAAATGGTCTAAACATACGTAAATATTTTTGTGCAAAATTTTATGGAACATGTGAAAACCTTACAGAAATTTGGCAATATTAATGGCCCTCCTTTGTTCTCTGTTTTAGTTATATGTAAATGCATTGAAATCCCTAAGTTAAGTTATTTGAGAGATATAAGGAATGTTCACTAACAATATTATATTCAAATATGGTACATCTTTTCTCCATGTCTAAATATTTCTACTACCTCTCAGCAACTAAGAGCTAAAAATAAGTCTCCACTTCTGATACATGGAGATTGGGTAAAGTACTTTAAAACATACTCCTATCAAGAACTTTCAAGTACTTTCTATAAATGGATTTATAAGAAGAGATTCTACATGTCCATTATAGAATAGTCCTGTTTTATCTTTAACTCAGCCTCCTAAGAAACATATTTAGGCACCTGATATTGAAGTAATTTGATAAATCAGAGAAAGAGTGGCCCATGGATTAGAAACTAGCAAGAGACTGAAGCTTAGACAGAATGATCTTGATTGAATTATCTAACTCCTCTATCCCTCTACTGCCTTTTCTATTAAGGATTATTATAGCTCATATTTATATGATTTCCCCCAACCTGTGCTATGTCCCAGGCCACAAGTGTTCAGGCTGCCTATAACATTTTATTATAATTATCGATTATGTGCCATTTTTAATTAATAACTAGACAATCCTGTTGGACAGCAAAAGCATCTTATCATTTTTGGAGCCATCTAGACCTAAGAATCCATACAGAGTTTAATATTGGTAAATTTAAATTTGTACAAGCTGTTGGTATCCATTAGCATTTTGATTGGCTGTGGCTTTATAAAAGAAAATGTGTGTTCCTTTTGGTCCCAGTTCTTAGGGATCTCATCCTCCCTTTCAGATTCTTATACATCAAACAACTCTTGTCCAAGAGAAATACTCACAAATACATCTATAAAAATGGCATTTTGTATAAATTCAGAAGGACTTATAATTCCACTAGCACACATATGTATATTATACATCCTTGATGTAGTGCAGTACTTGGTTTGGTGCTTTGCATTCATTGTTTAAAAAGGAGATTTAAATTGTAATGCTATTTTTAAGAGAGAATTTCATAGTTGCTCATTAAAGCAATAGTAACTTCTACTGTCTTTTGCTGAGAACCTGAAAGTAATTATCTCTTGTGTAATCACATTTTGTTTATCTACACAGTGTTTTTACAACTAACCCCAAATCTTAGCAAATCTTAAACTAAGGGCATTTCACATGACTGTTAGAGTTTTCCTTTCCTTATATGAAAAATAAGATCTGTAAGTATGAAATCTGCCTTCCCCTAGTCAAGCAGAACTAGGTAAGATTCCCACTATTTAAAAAACATAAAAAAAAAAAAAAACTTGTTCAACTTGACCTGATCCCCAAGTCTCTTTATTCCCTTGTATTGGGAATGAACTCACAACCTCACCCATGCTAGGCAAGCACTCGGCCACTGAGCTATATCCCTGGATCTTAACTTTGTTTTTATTGTTTGTTTATTGTTTTGTTTTGTTTCATTTTACATAGACCCAAATCTTGATTGGCTGCAAGACTGCAAGCACTCAGGAACATTTGATAAATTCATTGTGCTCAAATTGCCATCTACTTGTACAGTTTGTAAAAGTTATTTCCTGTTTCTGTACTTTAATATCATAAATAGAAAAGTAAAAAGTCAGGGCAAAAAGCCATTTCTTGTAAGAAAGATAGGAGAGAGCATATGTCTTTACAAATGGAAAAATATGCCTGTGCTTTTAATATGCATTATATATTTATGCTAACTCTATGGTTCCCAAGTTAGAACATCAAATGGTAATACCTGGACCTATTCCTATATGAGAAATAGCTGTACTTTTGAGCTGGGTGTGATGGCTCATTTAGTCCTGGGTACTCTGGATGCAAAGGAGAATGACTTAACTCCAGAAGTTCAAGATCACCATGGGCAACAGATTGAGAATCAATTCAAAAGAAAAAAAAAGAATAATTGTACTTTTCATAATTCATTTTTTGTATGTTTTGTCACTGTTGATTTTGTTTCTTTTCTTCTTAATTCAAGAACCATCCAGATTTTATTATAAAGCATAACTACATTTCAAAGCATGAGTTGGAAATAATTAGGAAACATGTATTTTTATTTATTTTCCCTACCTTACTCCTTTTTTTACAAGATATTGTCACTAACATTTTTATACTATCATACCATATGCATATACATTTTTAAAAGTTTAAGATCATTTTCATGGTCCAGAATAATTACATTTATGAAAATGTAGTAATATCCATTATTTTTGAAATCAACTCTTTTGACTACTTTCTGGCTTCTCCTCTGACACTGTCTGCACAAGTGGATGTGTTGCCATTGGGCTGTCATTGCTGCAACCCTCTGGCTTTCTAATGATCTTGGCCTCACCATTCTCTTTGTTCACAGAAGGCACCTCCACTGTCCAGTGGAGGATGTACTGGGCTGCCAGGGTCCTGCGCTGCACGTGGGCTGAGTTGGTTAAGGGGTGAAAAGGGGGTGCAGCTCACTCTGTTGGGCAGGTAGATTTCCCCTTCATTCTCCCAATTATCACCTGGTAGTCTGGGCCTACTCAGCAGTCTTTGAATTGATCTACTTCATTTCTTTATGTATTTATCATCTGTTTCCTCCTAGAGTCTCTGTTATAGGTGACACAGCTGTCATTGAATACATAAAAGAATATAAATTGTATTGTTCATTTTCATGAAAATCACCAAGTGAAAAAACAAGTGCTTTTGTCCAGCCTTTGCATGTTTAGTGACTTCTGTCCACCAGGTACGGTACTGGAACAATGGAGGAGAGGAGGAGTCATCAAGCAAGGTGAAAGTGGCAGGAAATGAGACATCAGCCAGACTCAGGGGCCTGAAGAGCAACCTGGCCTATTACACCGCTGTTCGGGCTTACAACAGCGCCGGAGCTGGTCCCTTCAGTGCCACGGTTAATGCAACCACCAAGAAAATGCGTAAGTATAATTCCCATTGTGTTAATGCTGAGGAAAATTGCCTGCATTATGATAACCTCTCTCATCATTCTAACTGGGCACATCAAGTCATGAGTTCTACTGAATGGTAAGAACAATACAAGCTGCAAACGCTTGTAACTCCAGAGCCCACAGGTCCTTGTCTTGATCTCAGCAAATCTACAGGTAGAGACTCCATGTGAAATGAAAACTCTTAGTGTGGGGTGTTAAGTTCAGCTTCAAAAAATCGTGATTAATTTCTTTAGGTTTACTTTCATATATTTTTTTATTCCCCAAAGCTTGGGGGTTACTGGTAAGCATAAATAAATTAGAAATACTCAATAACTAGGCGTGATCTTTTTTTTCCTTCTCTTGTTTTTCACATCATCCAAAAGATAGCAATATGTATTAAAAGTTTATCACCAGAAGATCCCAGTCCCTGTGAATATATTGGTACAGTACTTTTAAAAATTGACCCAGGAAGGACATTGTTGCCTTCAAAGCTGAGTCTTTGTTACCTAAGAATTCACAGGTAAACTTCTGAACTCTGATGATAAGTTATAACTAAATGAGCCTAAAAGAAAGCCCCTGACTTGCACTGTGCAGTGTCCCATAAATATTTCCATTAAAGTGAGAGCATAATGTATATTTAATCCTTGTGTTGTGTTTGATGCATTCTTAGAATGCACCTGTTTGAGTTGCCATCATAGCCAAAGTGATGGAGAATTCTCCATGTCCCAAGGGCTTCATGCTCATTCCCTTCTTATTCCCCTTCCAAAGGCAAGGAAAATGGGTTGTAGCACATTGGTAGTTTTACTTGCAGGTAGTTGTTTTCTCAGTATTTTATATTCAAAATGTTTTTTAGTGAATATGTTTGCTTTTCTGGCTTTATGTGGGAATGAAATGATGATTTCACTTGGCTGCAGATTTGAAGAATGCATTCCTGATTCCATATATCATTTCCAAATTTGCCAGGAAATATACATTTAGTGGCTAAAATTGCTCAAGTCTCCAGTAATATAAAATTGAATATAATGGGCAACGATAACTATTGATAGTATATATATATATAAAATAATCCTGCTACTTCAAATTGTAATAGACCACATTAATTTGGTCAGAGAAATATGTATGCTTATTTTTGCACAATGTGTAGAAAAAAACGTGTGACTAACAACTTCCTTGCACAATGAGCATTTCAGAGCAAAACTTTAACAACAGAACATTTTAGTCCTGTTAGTAGAGTCCATTTGTAACAGCGAATCTAGCAATATCCTTGCCTAGTTACTAGGAGAAGTCTGAGCCGGTCTCTTTTGTGTGACACATAGTTGCTTTTAGACCCAGGAGCATGTGGATTTGAAAATGCACCAAATGAAAATGTTATGTATTTACAGCTTTTCATTAAATAAGTGAGGCTTCTCCCAGTAGCAATTCTGAATTTATATGGCCTAACTACATCATTACTTATTATTCAAAATAAAGTGTAACCGTCATGTTTCCATTTCGGAGATAAAATACCTGATACCAGCAATGTAAAGGAAGAAATATTTATTTTAAGTCTTAGCTTCAGAGGTTTCAGTGTCCATATTCTGCGGATGTTAAGGCAGAAACATCATGGTAGAAGAGTACAGTGGGCCAGGGCGATAGTTCAGTAGCACAGTGCCTACCTGGCAAGCTCAACGTCTTGAGTTCAATTCACAGTACCAAAAGAAAAAGTATGGTGGGAGGAAAATAGCTCAACTCCTGGCATCTGGGAAGAGTAGAGTGGACAAAGAGCCCCAGAGAGAAAGAGGCCAGATCTAATCCCTAAGGTCACATCCCATGACCCCCCGCCACACACACACCCAGAAGTTTGTTTTACTCATCTCCTGTGTCTCTTTTAGTCCAGTCAAGCTGACAGTCAACGTTAAGGTCATGCACAGCATCAATCAAAAATTCTGATTCCAAAAGTATACTCAGTTTTATTTGGCTCTTGCCTCTGATTGGGAAACTGGTGTCATCAGCCACTAGAAAATATAATTGTAAAACAGGGGGTGTCATAGTGAGATCAAGGAATAACTTACTGAACTGGGAAGGCAAAGAAAGTTACTGATTATAAGTCAATAGGAATATTATGATCGTGCTCAAAGGATAAAATTAATTTTTTTAAAACAGCAAATCCCTTTTATAATTCAGAGATTGCATGTAAATGCCTCATGTAAATTAGAAATTTGCACATACCCATGATGTTAGATAGTATTAATGGCTAACACGTAATGAGCAATTTCTAGGGCTAGTTATCAGCACTTTCAGTGAATTCATTCTTAATTCTCACTGCAATGCTATGAGTTGGAAGCTATTAGTATCTTCGCTTTAGAGGTGAAAAAGCTGAACTTTATGTAACTTTATGTAACTTTACAGAGATGGCACAGTAAGCAACAGGATAGTCATCCAAATTCAGACATATCGGTAACCACGGTGGTATCCTTTCTCTCAACCATATAATTTAAATACAGTTCATTTAACAGCAGTATTTATTGTGATTTTCCTTAAGAACTGGATGAGATGATTGAAGACAGGATTCTTATGGTAGTGAAGCTGTAGTTGACGGGAATTTCAACACAAACTGAACAAAGTATATTTTAAAATATACACACATTACTGCAGTTCACCGAAAGTCTACATGTTGATCTGCAGGTGTTATTAAGGAAAATTTTTCTATGTGGGGTGAGAAATTCATACAAATAATTACAATCCCTAGTCATCTTAAACTTACATGTAAGAAATATATGCTAAGTTTTAAAATTTACGTTAATAATTTTTCAAGCATATACCACAAAGCAAGTAAGATGGGTGCTTCTAAAGCTACTTATATTATTACCAGTACCTTTAATAGTCTTGCTAACTTGTACTGTAATTTAGCTTCAAATTCTATTTAAACTTTTCGTAAGTCTCTTGTGAATATCAATTTGAAGAGAACTACCTGGATGTCTTAGGCATGAAGAGCTAAGATAACATTTTTCTATCAGTCTTCCTCTTTGGTTTGTAAACTTTACACGAGGAGAATCTTTCTGTGCCTTACACACTCTGGCCTGGTGCCCAGTCGAAATCCAGTACATGGCAGGGACTCATTAACTGCTGAATGGATAATTGAATGGATGAATAAAACCTAAAGAAGCAGGCCAGCCTGAAGTACTATTATTAATCAAATGTACTTCCTCTTGATTGCACATTGTGAATTCCAAGCACTCACGTCAGCCTTCTGCCATCCTGCTTATAATGTTTGTTTTGTGTACTGATAACCATGCCATTCTGTATGCCAGGCTTTATTCCAATAAAGAGTGTAGGAGATATTTCTGATTAATGTCAAATAACGCAAGGATTCTCAAGCTAAGTACTGTAACTTCCATTAAACACTTAATTTTTGATATCCAAATACTTGTGTTGTTAAAGATATTTTTAAACTAACAGTAATTGGCCTCTTTGAGTAATCAAAGCTGATTTTTCCTCATATGCAACTCAAAAAGAGGTATCTCTTCACTATCATCCTTCTAATGAAACTGATAAGGAAAATTTGCAGGTGGCTTGAAAGGATGAAATGTGTTGATTCCTAAAACAAAATATACTGAGACCTTTCGGTCCAGAGTGTTCAAGAAAGAATCTATAGGACAAAAATTCTGCACTGTGTAACTAAAAATTCAAGTGGTAATTCTGGTTTTCAATATGGATGGACCCAAGCTCTCCAACAACATTATCAAGGAGTACACAGTAAGAACTCAAACTGCGTATCTGCTATACATAGTTCTTGATCATACCTCCCAACACATTTCTAGTCTGCCTCTTCTACAGATTCCTCCATTTCAGCAGATTCAACTTTGTTATTTCAGTTCCCCAGGACAGAAATCTCACAGTCACCCAAGTCTTATCTTTCTCTCATGCCCTATAGCTCATCAGAATCTTCTAACTTTATCAAGAATCTGCCATGTTGTACTGCATCTAGTGCTGGCTCCGACTCCACATGGCCTCCTTCTCTCCCACGGATCAGGCAGTGGCTCCTCACTGTCCTGCCTGTGCAGATTGTGGGCTGCCTTAGACTTAGAATGATTCTGATGACGTCACGTCACTCCTGAGAACTTTCCAGTCACTTTCTATCCACTCCATATGAATTCTAAATCCTTCAGATACCCAACACAGCCGATACAGTTCCAGCTCCAACTCATTTCCTGTCATTTCCCACCTTGCTCACGGCACTCTCACTTCAGGACCCTAACATTTTCTGTCCCCTTTACTAGAAAACTCTTCCTCAAGATATCCTCACCACATTCTCCCCATATCTCTGACATCTGCATCTGAATATAATCTCAGAGCCAGCTGATGCCATATTTTAAATTGCAGCCTTTTATCCCCGCATATTTCCTGCTTCTTTCCCTGCTTTGTTCCTTGTACATGAGACTTAGAGGCACCACACAAACCCTGTCTTCTATCATTTGTTTCACTGCCTGCCTGCCTGGAAGATAGCTTCTTTGGGACAGAGAGTTTGCCTGGTTTGCCCACTCCTCTGTCTGTAGAGCTGGTGCTCCTGTTTATAAGCAGGGCTACTGGATGCCCAGCCTGGTAGGTGTTTGTTGTACAGACAATGACACTCCATCTCCTGTCTGCTCAGGAGTGGCATCATTTTAATACAGTTCCCTTTTAGGACAACAGTGCTGTCACCAGCATCTCAGGACTCCTTTCTGTCATCCAGACACTCTAGGGAAAGAGGGTCCCTTCTTTCTGTTTATTTTGCTCAGAACTAGCTAGACTTTTTATTGGCTCATCGCAAGTAATGTCCATCTGTGAACTACATGCTGTGGCCACGTGTTAGAAAACCCTGGTTGGCCTGACCTGGGTCATATGCCAGCACCCCCAGAATAAGGAGCACCTGTCTTCTTAATGCCTTCATTAATCGTTGTATGTATGCATCCACTTGGGAAAGTAGTGTAATATTAAATGATACAGTTGGTTCTGCACTTGAGGTTTCACTT